GGGGACCCCCACCCTGAGGGGGTGCGAGCAGCCTGAAAACAGCCATCAGCCCCTCATCCAGGCCGGCCAGGCACCCCAGTGGGGACCCCCACCCTGAGGGGGTGCGAGCAGCCTGAAAACAGCCATCAGCCCCTCATCCAGGCCGGCCAGGCACCCCAGTGGGGACCCCCACCCTGAGGGGGTGCGAGCAGCCTGAAAACAGCCATCAGCCCCTCATCCAGGCCGGCCAGGCACCCCAGTGGGGACCCCCACCCTGAGGGGGTGCGAGCAGCCTGAAAACAGCCATCAGCCCCTCATCCAGGCCGGCCAGGCACCCCAGTGGGGACCCCCACCCTGAGGGGGTGCGAGCAGCCTGAAAACAGCCATCAGCCCCTCATCCAGGCCGGCCAGGCACCCCAGTGGGGACCCCCACCCTGAGGGGGTGCGAGCAGCCTGAAAACAGCCATCAGCCCCTCATCCAGGCCGGCCAGGCACCCCAGTGGGGACCCCCACCCTGAGGGGGTGCGAGCAGCCTGAAAACAGCCATCAGCCCCTCATCCAGGCCGGCCAGGCACCCCAGTGGGGACCCCCACCCTGAAAGGTGTGTGACCAGCTGCAAACAGCCATCATCCCCTCATCCAGGCTGGCCAGGCACCCAAGCAGGACCCCCACCCTGAAGGGGGTGTGACCAGCTGCAAACAGCCATCAGCCCCTCAGAGGTAAAAGAGCATGATAAAAACACAGAAGGAATGTCCAAGACAAAGAGAGGAAATAAAGGCATCTAGATAATCTGGAACCAGTGATCACATAAGGAAATAGTAGAAGGTAATACCAGACAGATAGGTTGAGTCCAGTGTGTGAGATTCTGATGCCACTTTAAGAAATTCATACTTTTTTAGAAGGCAATTCTAATTACCTTTAATACAAAAAGTCAATTATTCAGTTAGTGAACTTTTTAGGCCATATGATGAAATTTTGGGAGGCATTACATTTTAAAAAATATATGCTTATTGATGTCAGAGAGGAAGAGAGAGGGATAGAGAAATAGAAACATCAATGATGAGAAATAATAATTAATTAGCTGCCTCCTGCACGCCTCCCACTGGGGACTGAGCTTGCAACCCGGGCAGGTGCCCTGGCCAAGAATTGAACAGTGACCTTCTAGTTCACAGGTCGACGTTCAACCACTGAACCACACCTGCCGGGCAAGGAGGTACCTTATTTATTTATTCATTCATTTATTCATTTATTTATTTATTATATTTTGGTTAATCCTCACACGAGGATATTTTTTTCCCATTGATTTTTAGAGAGAGTGGGAGGGGGAGAGACAGAGAGAAACATGATGAGAGAAACATCAATTGGTTGCCTCTCATACACGCCTGCAATGGAGCTACATGCCCTTGACTGGAATCAAAACTGAGAACCTTGGACTGAGCTGCTCCAGCTCCCGCTCCCGGGCATTTAAAGGGAATGCGCGGTGGCCCGGGCAGGGGGGATGGAAGGTAGGTGGAGAGGACAGCCCAGACGCACATCATCTATGGCCCCTCTGGACCAGAGGCACTTCTGAGCCGGAGCCCAAAATCCGAGGGTGGATAAGACACCGACCCCTCCAATTCCGGCCAGCACTCCAGGCTCCATCCTGCGCTCAAATGCCTCCGCGAGCCCCTCTCTCCACTCTGCACTTCAAACTCAGCCCGGACAGCCTTCGGCCACCGCCGCTCCACACCCTGCTGGAGAAGCTCAGAGATCCTGTGCCCCTTTTATTTGAGGAGCTCTTTTGGACGACACAAAATGATTACATTACTCAGGACAAAACTGCTCTAGAGGCTGGCGGGATGGCTGTGCAGGGCGCGCTGCGCTTCCTCCTGACCTTCGATTTTGACAAGACTATCGTGGATGAAAACAGTGACTGACTCGATAGTGCAGGAGAGCCTGCGCACCACCTACAGTGAGGGCTACAACGAATACATGCAGCTGGTCAAGTACCTGGGCGAGCAGGGCGTGCCGTCTATGAGGCCATCCCCCTCCCCCCACGCCCCTGGTCCCCAGGCATGGGCGACCTGCTGCAATTTGTGGCCAAGCAGGGAGCCCGCTTCGAGGTGATTCTCATCTGGGATGCCAACACCTTCAGCGTGGAGAGCTCTCTGCCACCTGGGCCTGTTCCGCTGCATCCTCAGCAACCCCTGGGGCCCCCCGCGGGGGTGGGGTGGGGGGGCGGGGGCGAGGAGGGGGCTGCTGGAGCTGCAGCCCT